AGGTATCAATAGTGTTAAACTGCTCTGTGTACATGTTTGCGGGGGGGGGAGAGGGAAAGCCACAGCTGGATCCACGTCCTGGTGAATGGAGGAGGCAGGGGAGCTTCTTATTTTTCCATGATAAAAAAAACAAGATCAAATACCAAAATATATAGATATTTAGAATTTATTTTATTGTAGTGATTAAAGCAGTGGTAGGCTTCCAAATTGCTTTAAAATTGTAAATATATCAATAAAAAGTTATGTTCAACTGATACTTCTATATATAGTGGCATTTCATTTTAATCATGGAAGAATGTGAATTTTGAGATTTTTAATTAGAGAATACGGGATCAGAGAATTTTTTATTTTTAAACCCAGAAAACCAGGTTCTCTGGTGTTGTCTTTTTATTGGACCAACAGCATGAAGAATGTCTTGCATTTGGAAGCTTGCTTAACTCTATCCCAACTATGCAGTTGCTCCAGTAAAAAGATTGCACCCTAAGAAATCCTTGCCCTCTTATGTATTTAGCACACTTTAGGTTAAACTCAAAAGCAGTTATACAGTGCTGGGTTTTTGGAATTAAAAATGTGCCAAGCTGCTTTTGACTGTTAACCACAAGTCATAATAACAACACAATAAATAATATTATTTATGTAAATGACATTCTCAGTGTTTACTTAGTTTAATTATTTAGTACAAAGGGCGTTAGTGAAAGTGTGTATATAATTGCTTATTTGTTTGCCATCTGTGTTGGTTAGATTCTTTTGTTTCCTTTCTTTCCTGTTTTTTTTACCATCAAATTTAGTGTAATGACTGTCATGGAAATCAAGTTGTCTTAATGGTTATAAATTTATTTCAGAAAATGCTGAATGTGCAAATGAATAAAATTAAAATCCATTATTTAAGATTTCTTGCTTGTTGATTTAAAAAAAAACCAACCAACCAATTGTATTAATATTTATGAACCAGTACCCCCTGCTTTGATCAGGCATGACCTAAACTGTACAAATGACAAAATCTGTCAAACTTTAGTTGGAATTGGGCAAACTGCTGTGGACATCCTTTAACATTTTTATCCTTAATATCTTTTAGAAGAGTTACCTAGGGCTACATCATTTCTAATTCTTTGTCTGCTACTGAGATTTGGTGATAAAAATTGGTTCTGAGCTTCATTATGTTTAAATCCTGTTCTTGTAACAAAGGAGGCGAAATATTGTTCGTTTTTCTGGCTGGCTGTCATTTTGATTTGTATTTCAGCACCATTCTGTTACTGTTGGTATGGGATGGCATAGCAGTCCAGAAGCTGTTTAAATTCTTTAATTGTGCTAGCCGTTTAAATGTTTCAGTACGAGCAAAAATTGATCATTTCAGTGCAGCAATGATCCCGTGCATAACAGTTCCTAATGAATTTGTGTAAAACCTTTTGGCATTGATTTACTCTAAAATCTAGTTATGGTGTTTTTTTAAAATATCTTAAGAGTGTTGTGGTAAAATGCAGATAATTTATATTAACGTAGATCATTATCTTTAATTCATTATGATCCCTTATGGGTTTTGTTTTTTTGTTTAGGTTGAAGATGAATACAGGGTCTTCCAAGAAGAAGCCAAGAAGCAAATTGAAGATCTCAATATGACTCTAGAAAAGCTTCGGACAGAGCTAGAAGAGAAAGAGACTGAAAGAAGCGACATGAAGGAAACGATCTTTGAGTTAGAAGATGAAGTAGAGCAACACCGAGCTGTGAAACTTCATGACAATCTCATCATATCTGACTTGGAGAGTAAGTGTTGTGAGTTCCTCTTGGTCACAAATAGCATGTTGAAGTGGTAAAAATATTTGAGTTGTGAGTTGCTATGTATGTTTTACAGTCAGAAGAGGACTTGTGAAATCTCTTATTTATATCCCCAAAAGAAAAAAATTAGCTTGACTTTAAGATTTCTAGGTTCTCAAGTTGGAGTGAGGGGAAGTAAGTTGATAAAATGTGTTCTTGTAGTCGCAGGGAATAAATACAAAATTAATAGTGCTATTTCAAGTCATGTTTCACAGCAGAACTGCTAGTAGTTGTAGTTTTAGATAATAGCATTTACTGCCCATGTGACTGATTGGTGAAAGGCTAATTTAATTTTTGTCTGGGAAACCCAAGTTCTCTTTTCTTTTCCTACAACCGTTAAGTAGGCAAGTTCATCATCTGAGGATTATTTTGTAGTTCACTAGACTAGAAAAATTCTCCCTCTCAGAGAAATTGGAGGATGCAGCTCTAAAGATCTCTAACTATGTTGTTGTTTCCTTGGCGTAACCATATATACTCTTCTGTGTAGACTTCAGATTTTAAAATTGATTTGGTCCTTGAAAACAAAAATGCTAACTCTGAAACAAAGCTCAAACAAGTATGGAAAACTCCATCCTGTTCTCTTCTAATTTCCATTTCCCTAAGGTGCATAGCTATCAGACTTCATGCCTTCATTTTCCCTGCGGTGAGGTTTTGCATCTGTTCCAGTCATAAACTGGGTCCTGGGCTGCAGCACCCTGTTAATCAACTGTTGTTACTCAGCAGCAGGTCTGAGATTCCTGCAGTTTTTCCCTTGGGGATTGTGTGACTGGCAGCATACAGTGATAAAATGGCCTTCTGAACCAAAATATGGTTTATTTTAACTATAGGAAATAAATCTTTTGAAGGTAGGATTTTAAAATAGTCTACAGCCCTGATTCTCAACGAGGGTGCCACAAGATCCCTTAAAGGTGCCGCATAATTTCAGCACTATTCGATGTGCAAACATCCGCTCTGGATTTATCGTGTGAATCCTGCTTTTCAAATATAAATTCACACTGTCAAACATATTATGGTGGTCCTTCTGAGTTCTTGCAACAGAAGAAATATGTTGTTATTTTTCTGTAGTCAAGAAATAGAGCTGGCATTTTCCAAGGGAGGTTTTGAGTCCAAAAAGATTGAAAACCAGTCTATATGCCTGTCTAGTTTACTGAACACCTTACAAATTGTTAATGGCAACCCAGGCAAGCAGGTCTAAACTTCTTCAGACACTACTAGTGTGTGCTTTTAAATTAGATTGTTTTCTCCAGAAATCATCTTTTCTTTGGAGGGGAAGAGGGAGCCCCTTTTCTTGAAAGGGAGAGACGCTTTTTAAACCGCTATCCTCTTTCTTTTGTGTTCCTAGTTTTGGTCTTTCTAGACAAAACTGAGCTAGTGTTTAGATAGCCAGTAGCTAGGTTTTGGCTCATTACATATCTCTCTGCAAGCAGTAGATTAAGTTGTCTTTCCTTTCCTGGGTTGTTTTTTTCCTCCCTTTTAAACTAAATAATTATATACATACAGGGCTCATCTGCATGGGGTGCTGCTGTGCATTAGATCGTTGCTACTCCGCAGTAACGTTGGTGCACACTAACCATGACATACTGCGACTACGCAGTAGCGTCTGGAAAAAAAAAGTGTGGAGAAGGTACTGCGTAGTAATGCCAGTTACTGCACAGTTATTTAGTATTGGTTATGTGAGTACTAAATGACTGCTCAGTAACAACTGCTTAATCTGCTGCTTGTATAGAAGTTTTTTTTTAAACTTTTCAATACCGGGTCAATATACGGTGTCAAATAACTACAGAGCAGCTCCAATTCTATTGTGTAGCTTTGTCAAATATAACTGCTTCACCTCTTTTTCTAACAGATGTCTTGCAACAGGTCTTCACTACTGAGTTAGCTTTTGAGGCTACTGGCGCACATTCAGACTCGGCATGCTCAATGAGCTGAAAGTTTCATGAGGAATTCTGAGTCTTCGCTATTTATACATCTAAAAGTAATCTGATATAATTGAAGTTTCTGGATAGCAATCTAACAGTTTCAGGAGACAACCTAAAGTAAAGGCAGGAAGGAAAGCGACATCTTGTGGTACCTGTATAGTATGGTAACCAAAGATCAGCGTAATCAAAACTAACATTTTTCTCATAAGTTTTTGAAACTTTTCTTGGCTTTAAAACTTACATACCTACAGTAGTTTACTGGGATATTTTTATTTTTTGTTTTTGTTTTTAGTTTACTTTTGTTTCGAATTGAATGTGTAGCACAAAAAGCAACATTTTAAAGAAAGAGAACAAGCTTCCTTATGAGCAGGGATCCTAGTTTTCTATGCTTAAAAATGGTAAATTATTTGATTAAAACCGCAAATTCTCTGATTAAAAATCCCTAAATCTGTGTTTTTCAGTAATTAAAATGAAACGCCACTAGATATATAGGTATACAACTTGAATACAATGTTATATTGATATATTTACACTTTTAAAGCAATTTGGAAGCCTACCAGTGCACCAATCACTATAATAAAACAAATTCTAAATAACTATGATTTTTGGCGTTTGATTTTGGGTTTTTTATCACGGAAAATCAGAGCTCCCCATGCCCCCTTCTCTGACTAGGACGCAGGTCCAGCTGCAGCTGTCCCCCTTAACAGCTTTGTGATGCTGAGTGGTTCTGGTACGCTGGTGCCATGCCGGAGGGGGCCCACAGCTGCCAGGGTTACAGGGCCAGGGACACAGGTCCACAGCCCTCTGCCCCACCATGGCAGTGCCTGAGCACTGGCTGCTGCATGTTGGGAGATGACGGCTGCTGCTGCAGCAGAGTAGAGCACAAAGCCCAGCTCCCCATCCCCCATGTGAAGCAGCCTGTGCAGAGCCTATGGGGAGGTGGGGGAGCTTGGGCTTCTTGGCCTGCTTCCTTCCTCCTGGGGCCTCTGCAGCCCAGCAGGTGGAACCTGGTGCAGCAGGGCAGAGTGGGGCCAGGCAGGGAAGCTTGGTGCTGCCACCAAGCCCAGTGGTGCCCTAGCAAGGCATCCCCTGCCCTCCTGGCAGCAGTGGGGCTGGAAGCATGGAATTGTGTCCCTTGCTGCTGCTGGTGGACTGGGACACTTTGGCAGGGCAATGCGGGGCTTGCAGCAGTAGTACCGAGCTTCCCCACCCCACTGTGCCCTGCCGTGCCAGATCCCAGCTGCCAAGGTCCCAGAGAGAGGGCAGCAGGGTGGGGAGCCCAAGCCTGCAGTGGGCAGTCCTCATCCTCCCCTGCTTCGTGCACAAGTCTGGGGGGCACGTTCCCCCCAGACCTCCTTCAGGAGTGTGCTCAGTAGTGGGGAACTGCTCCCTGCTGCCCCTGGACGAACCACCCCCTGTCCTACTCCCCACCTGGGCCCTGTGGCCATGCATTCTGGCCCTGGGCCCCAACCCCCACACACCGCCCAGGCTGGGCAGCAGCCCCAGCCCCAGGTCTGCCCAACTCCCTCCCTCCTTCCCTCACTATGGGGGCCTCAATCCCTCCCCACCTGTGCGCCAGAGTTACCTGCAGGATCTGCTCTCCAAGCTGCCTGGTGGCCATGTGCATGTGTATGTGTGCACGTATACATGGCACCCGCTGCCTGACTGCCCTCTTCCCCTCCCCTATCCCCTAGTCCCTTGCAGGCTGGAACTCTGTCAGCCTGCAAGGGGAAACCTGCTGTTTCCTGCATTTTTCTCCTTAAAATTAGAATCTGTTTTTTACCATGTTTTTCTGTCGCGAACATAAAACCCAGATCCCTGCTTATGAGACTAGAGCCGTAAGTGCAGATCTGAAACCCAGAAGTTGTGCTTATAATTCCTGTACTCGGCCTTGGTGAGGCTGCAGCTGGAGTATTGCATCCAGTTTTGGGCTCCACAATTCAAAAAGGATGTGGAGAAGCTTGAGAGAGTCCAGAGAAGAGCCATGCGCATGATCAGGGGTCAGGAAAGCAGACCTTATGATGACAGGCTGAGAGCCATGGTGCTCTTTAGTGTGGAAAAGCACAGGCTCAGGGGTGATCTGATGGCCACCTATAAGTTTATCAGGGGTGACCACCAGGATCTGGGGGAACATTTGTTCACCAGAGCGCCCCAAGGGATGACGAGGTCAAATGGTCATAAAGTACTACAAGACCGTTTCAGGCTGGACATAAGGAAGAATTTCTTTACTGTCCAAGCCCCCAAGGTCTGGAACAGCCTGCCATCGGAGGTGGTTCAAGCACCTACACTGAACACCTTCAAGAGCAAATTGGATGCTTATCTTGCTGGGATCCTATGACCCCAGCTGACTTCCTGCCCTTTGGGGGTGGGGGGGCTGGACTCTGATCTTCCGAGGTCCCTTCCAGCCCTAATGTCTATGAAATCTATGAAAGACAGAGATGGATCATAGCAAACAATTGTATAATGCTGTGATGGTATTAAGATGTTAGAAAATTGCATCCTGACTGTAAGCCCCATCATGGTGTTTGATCTAGCTTGTCCCTTTGGCTGTGAAAATACAGTTGATGCCTGTTAGTTGTAACATGCTAGTGCCCTAGTCCTATGTTGTTCTTAAATTGCTGCTATAGGGATTGTCATTTTATGTCAGTGAGAAGGGTTGTTGGATAAGATAGTTTCTGC